CGCTCTGTTCCTCCGTCTTTTTCACGTTTGCTTTCTTTTTTTTCTTTCTTTCTTTCTTTTCGTCTTAGCTGCAGCGCCTTCGTTTCGTTTACTGCAGCCAACTGGTGGCTGAGCGGACTTTACACGGCCATGATTTAGAGCTACCGAGAAACTCGCTCCAACAACTGCCAACCCACTGCACATAATTAATCCACCCCCCAGCTACGTGTATTTGTATTTTATTTACTTTCAATGCCAATTTTTTATCTGTATCGCCAGGGTGGAATTCATTGTACTTCGATTACCAAAGTTTTGGAAAAAAAAAACAAAAAAACAACAACAAAAAAAGTATATGCGTCCTTGGGGGAAACTGAGACATCCCAATGTGCCGCGATAAAAATAAGAAGCGGAGGACCCTTTGTGCCGCTGTGAAATACCGTACGGCCATCAATTAAAAGAACCCAAAAACGCCGGGCGTATGGGTATATACGAACGTGTGCACGGGCCGGGAGCGATTTAACGAGAGGAGAAAAAGAGGAGCGTCGCGAAAGTCCGCGCAGCAGTGAAAAATCGGGCGCGAGCGGAGACGCGGATGGAGAGGAGCGAAGAAGGAGGAGGGCCCGCGCCTAAAAGAGGTAAATTTAGAAAAAAAAGAAAGAAAAAAAGTCGTAAATATCGGAGCCATTCGCTCCCGAGTTCTGTGCGTGCGGTTAACGCTCGGCCGGGGCCCTCTCTCGTGTGTCGCTAGTGGACGCGGGTGACGACGATACGCGGCGACGAAACGCGGCGAGCACATGTGCGCGCGACCGCCAGACAGAGAGCTGATCTTTTTTGCCCCCACGGAGTAAAAATAATCTTTAAAACCCCCGAAACAGGATGCGCTGGCTGGAAAAAGACGAGGAGAGGGCAGTAGCCCTCCACGCGCAGCATCGTAAGTCTTTTTCTCCCGTCCTCCCCCTCCGCACCCTTTGGCCCAACAGCGGTATATATATATATATATATATATATGGTCTGGAATTAGCGGCTGGCCGCGTCGTGACTCTGTTATTCAGCTGGAGGAATATGTATAAAATGTGTACGTGTGTTCTTGTGTGGGTGTGTGTGCGCCGCGCGATTCTCGGAGGAACGAGAGCAGATACGAATCTGCTCCTAATCCTCCTCCGACTATGTAGACGAGCTAAGATACCTTACCAATGTACGTTATGTAGGTACACATACCCATTGCTTTCACGGGGCTATGCACATCCTTTCCCCCCCTATCAGGAGCGGGAGAGCTCTATACATACGTGCACCTTATATTGCCGGCACACGCTGCAACGTAGCACCAGGAAAGTGAAGATGGCTCCTACGAGATAGCCATCTGTTTTTGTTAACTGAATTGTCGCGTCTGCACGTAGAGAGAGAGTCCCGATCTCTTTCTCTGTACCATACGTATACACCTACTTACGTACTTACGATTACATGTATGTATATCCGTGCAGTATGCGCTCCGCATCCCGCTACTTTCCGAGATCCCGCTCTCGATTCCCTTGTACATATACATGTATATATATTTATAGGCTCTCCGTGATTTTTTTTTTTTCCTTCCAGCTGTGCTCGAAAATCTGAACCACCAGTGCACGCGTTAATTCCCATTTTCCATGCGAACGGAGGGCAAACAAAAAAAAAAAAAAAAAAAAACCCCCAGCTATTAATTAATTTGTCTTTTAAGAACATTCAATTGGTACATATACACGTTATTGCTCGTGTAGAACCTAAAAGCGTCCAATTGCGATGATATATGGATAAAAAAAGGCTTTTTCCTTCAGCAGCAGCGACTATTTTTTTTTCCCCCCCGATACGTTCGCTCGATTTATTTATTAACGCGAAAGTTTAAAAAGCTCTTTGTCAAAGACGTGCGGAGCCAAGAACTTGGCGTTTCTTTTGTGGCGGGTCTAATTTAACGGGGCTGACCGAGTAAAGTGTCTCCCAGGGGCCCCGAGGGAGCCGAAGCCGCGGTGCGAAAAGAATACCGATCAGCTCGCTCGAGGTCATTTCGTCCCACCAACCGCGCCTACATCATCCAAAGATCGACGACAGATGCGTGCTACCGACAAGAAAAAAAAAAAAAAAAAAAAAAAAAAAAAAACTCAACCCCGCGATGCATTTGATACACCTTCACGACCCGCTGACCAATATGTTTAATCAGTTGGGCCTCTGCGGCAGACCCGCATTCGCTTATACGTATCGCGCGACGCTGTTTCGNCGACAAGAAAAAAAAAAAAAAAAAAAAAAAAAAATTTCCTCGACAACGTGACACTTTTGATACACCTTCACGACCCGCTGACCAATATGTTTAATCAGTTGGGCCTCTGCGGCAGACCCGCATTCGCTTATACGTATCGCGCGACGCTGTTTCGTCGTTGCGCCTGAAAAATATTCCACGTTCCGGCCGAGTGGCTCCCATCTGACTCAATAATGGTAATTTCGGACGAGTAGCTGCGCGGCACGTTATATATATATATATACATCAGGCCACTTTGTTTATTCACTTCGAGCCGGTACTCGGCTAAGCGAGAGGAACGAATATTATCTCGCGCACATTATCTTTTTATCGCGCCCTGCTGTTCCACTTCATCGCGTATACGTGGATTTCAAAATTAACGATTACCGAGCGAGGGAGTATACCGATTTTTCTCGACTAAAGTAAAATGCGTCTTTTGCTTTTGGACGACTCGCCCGGGGTCATTAGCCATCGGAGGGCCGAAGAGCAAACAGAAGACGTCTTGTAAAACCGAAATTCACACAGTTCTTCTTTCGAGTGGGTATATTATATGTATACAATGCAAGTATAGTCCAAGGTTTTCCAAGTCGCTGTATATGCATACGTATACACCAGAGAGAAGGAGAGAATAAGAGGAAGGGAAAAAAAGAAAAGCTTGGGCGTGAAAGATATTAGGCAGGTCCTTTCATGTTCATGTATACATATGTATACACCACAGGCTGCAAGAGAGAGAAGGACGAGTAACAGCAGGCCTGTGCATTATTGTGCGCCACCATAACCGGCACGCTGATAATTTTCCTCGAGAGCCCTTTCAAGTGGTCCCTTCTGGAGTCTATACGCGGGCGCCGCGGTCACGAGTATCTGGGAAAGTCTTTCGGGGACGACGTTTCCCTCGTGATATTATAACGTACACACCGTGTGGAGGCACACACGTCGGATGGAATTAAAGGGCATGCGCGTACCGATGATCGCGACCGAAGCCGCGGTAGGCTGGACCTCGACGTTTTTTTTTTTTTTCTTTTTTCGAGGGCACGAGAGAGAGAGAGGGACACTCGGGAGCTCTCATTAGGAGACAAAAATAGTCCACTCTGTACGAGAAGGGGGAGGATGAACGTCGTATCCCCTGCCGGCAGCAGCTGTCAAGAAGAAAACGGGCCAGCCGAATGAAAATACTTGCTGCCGCCTTTATTTTTGTTTTTTCAATTTTCCCTCTTTATCACGTCCCTGCACTCGGGAAACGTGTAAACCGTGGTCGGGTCGAAGGAGAAACAAAAAAAAAGTACGGCTCGTAGCGTTTTTTTTTTTCTTTTTTCCTTCGCTCGCGTTAAATTGAATTCAAAAGCTGCGGCCGAGGCGTCCCTCTTTGTTTCTATACAACGGCGCTCAGCGACCAGATGATTTTCTGATTAATGGACCCACGTAGTGGGTAATAAAATTGTTCATTTCACGTGTTACGTGCCCCGGTATTGATACCGTTTGAATGTAAATGACATGATTTTTTGCGCAAACATCGGCGGAAAACCATCGAAGCCGAAGACCAAACAAAAGCGAGCTCCGCGCGTACGAGAGGTGTTTGCATTTGCTCCGGGAAAAAACGTCTCCGCAAGGACGCAACTCGACATTTATTAACACCAGAGATAAAAAAATTCATCAAAAACATTCAAGATGTAGAGCTACACTGCTCTTAAATATATGTATATTCACAGGTATGACCGGTCCGCGGTGCCCCCCCTTACCGCGGCGGTGGGTAGAGAGATGTATATAATACGTATATCTTTGGCCGCGGTATATACGGCAGGAAGTATCGGAGCATGGGGGGGGGGGGAGGAAGCGAGCACATGGACCAGCGTCTGCGCGCCCGTGGCTTTTCTCCCCCTCCCGGCTGGCGTAGCCGGAGGGGTGAAAAGCACCCTACGAGCAGAGGAGCACGGAGAGCGAGAGTCCGATCGTCCGTCGTCGAGGTGCTCCGGAGCCGACCGAGTGGCCAAGTATTATAGGTATCGTGTAGCGTGCGCGCGCGGAGAGTCGAGCCGCCGCCGTCGTAGTCCGCTATATGCCGCAGCTCAAAGCAAGAAGAGGTATAGCCGTATAACAGAGCCACAGGAGAGGCGGCAGCCGCGCGCACACACAGTGCTGCCCCGACGACCAGGTCCCGACGGCGCGCCGGGTTACCAGCCGCCGCGCGCCCGCGTCCGGCCACAGTCCACTCAGAGATACGGCCCATGCTGGACCTGAGTGTAGTCGCCCCGTGCAACAGCCCACGCATACAAAATACATCTCGTTACCTACAACCCGCCACTCCAGCCGCATACTCGCGCATCGCAATAAGCTCTCGTGTTGACGTTTTCATCGCCGTTGGGACGACCCCCCCGCCCTCGAGCTTTCGGCCGATTTTTCTTTATTTTGTTCCTTTCCTATCTTTTTTTTTTTCTTTTCCTTTTTTTTCCACACGTACAAGTATACGGAGTCAAGTTCGGATGACCAACGTGTGGAGGATGTTGGACGCGAGTGATGGCCAACTGCAGTGACTGATCGTCCTCGTGTGTATATAGATCGCGTGTGGCTTACCGATCACCGGCAGCAACGCCGCGACGCAACAAAACGCATTAGAATTCAGATGCTGCGGCGTCCACGACAGATGCACGCGCCAGATCGCGGAGCCGGCGAACGCTGCTGCAGACGACGACGACGACCGTGAACGGTATAACATATAGTTGACGTTTTGCACCTGCACAGCCCCTAAAAGTGCGGACCGATCTTCGTCATCTATACCTATTATTATTATTATTATTATTATTTCGCGTCGTGGATGCCGATGTTGTTTTTGTTGTCGACTAGAGTAACTGTTGTATACACCACCGCAGCTACAAATATATATATATATATATATAACAAGTGAGGTGCAATGAAAAGACGAAGGCCCTAGTTGCCGAGTGACTCTAGTTTCTTGTTTTTTTTTCCTTTCCCTCCTCCTCCCTCCTCCGACAGCTTCTTCCTCTCGCCTATTTCAAATTGTTTTTTTGTTTTTTTTTTTTGTCATCCCTCCTTCCCTGCAATATCCTCGTCGCAGTGCTTCGCATATAGTTTTGTTTACGCCCGCACACCTGTTATCGCCGTCGAGCCAGTGAGTTCCTTTAGAAGCCAAAAATACAATCAGCCAGTATAGAGCACCCGAGACTACTACTACTACTACTACTAGTTAATTAACGCTACTACTATCTATTACTACTACTATTGCAACAATTGCCAGTATACGAGTCAACTGTACAAGCGCACCGGTGTAGCAGTGATAATCGCAGCAGCCACCATGAGGATCAAAATGCCAGCTGTTAGAATCGCCCAAGGTGAGTACGGATTGTCCATTGCTTCGTCACGTTATCGCTCGCTCGTCCCAAATAATAATTATGGGCAAATATGTATCGCCAACACTCCGGCACTTGGTTATTGCGCGTTTTTTTTTTTTTTTCTTTTCTTTTCTTTTCTTGTTTCTACACTCGCGTATCTCTCTATGTGTTTAAACAAGTCGACACGAATTCCACCCGCCGAAAAACAAGCGCGGCTGATAAGAGCCACACGACTCGAGGGGGAAAAGAAGAATCGTACGAGGAAGAGGTGTTTGCGCGTACAGCGGCGAGATCGGCACGTTGGCGTGATATCGGGCCAAGGGAGTAGAAAAAGCCAGCGTCTTGGACCGCGGCGGGAATTTTTAATTAGTCTCCCCCTAGACGGCCCCTTCTCCACTCGCGCCTTCCTTCCGAGGGGCTGCAAGAGCCGGCAGGGGGGGGGGCATTGTCATGCGCGCGTTTTTCAGCCGACTTTTCCACCCCCGTGCTGCAACCCCCTCGCTTTCTCTCTTTCTCCGTGTACCTCTTTCCTTCCTCCTCCTCCGCATTTCTTTCCGTCTCTCGGCCGCCTGCCAGCCTCTTCTTGGCGGCCTCCCTCCCCCCCCCCGGCTTTCTTAATTACAACCGCGATATTCTTTAGTTTGCGCGATGCTGCCGCCGTGGAAAGACTCCGCGAGCTCTCGACCTTTCCTTGCAAAATTCGTATCGGCCAATCTGTGGTGGTGTTTTTTTCTCTATCGTATAGGATCGTTTGGCTAAAACTAACAATGACGCGTGAACGGTACGTGGTTGCGACAGAGGAGAGCCGCCCGGAGAAATTAAAAGGCATCATACTTCCGATGGCACGGTCGTGGTGAGTCGTCTTTTCTTGTCTTGTCTGTAACGAAAAAAAAAAAAAAAAAAAAAAAAAAGGCAATGGTCGACGACGATTTTCGTCACCTCCTCTCGATGACTCGTTTGTTACTTTCCGTTACTCAGTCACAGTGTCAACGTCTCGGCCGAATATATATTATACCTATATTGCTGGTGGAATTTCGAAAAAGAGGTGCAGCACGTATTATGGTGTGTCTGTACGTTAAAAAACACCCGTGCTCCCGTTTTGGAGCAGTGCGGCAATTAAAAATCACGGGGTTATCCTTCGATCGCGGTGTGCGCGAATTTGATTCGTTTGAAGGTATGCCTATGTACGAGGCCGCGACAAAGTGCCGAGAGAGCGAGCAGAGCGGCACTCACCTCCTCAATGGGTGATATTTAGCAAACAAAAGTGCGTTTTACGCCTCGACACGTGCGCGGCATATGTCCCCTCTGTCTTTGATGCTGTCCGTCAGACGCCCCTCCCTCTATCCTCCTTCTACGATCCGTGTCCGTGTATATATACGCAATAGTTCTCTCTGTATGCCGCGATGCTTGCTTCCTCTTGTGTGCCATCGAGCCGCGCTCCTCTTTCTTCTTTTTTTTTTTCTCTTTCCGAGCAGTCAAAAAACGACGGACTATTTGATTCTTCCTTGGATCGGGCGCGTGTCGCTGCAAAGAGAGACAGGGACCCTCTTCCTCTCGCGGCACGCGCCCAGGTACGGCGTACTTAATCAGTCAAAAGTGCGAGAGAGAGAGAGGCGCCGACGGACAGGGTGCGATGCGAGGGCAAAAAATCGAGGACGAGGTATGGGCATTTTTTGCCACCTCTTATACATGGCTCGAAAAAGAGCGACCAACTTATTGTAAGGATGTCGTTTTAATTGCGAGTTAAGTGTTGCTTTGGGGATGAAGAAAAACGAGCCGTGCGAAATTTTTTTTTCCCCCATACGGCTAATGGCGAATGACTTCTCGATATTGCGTTTTTGGGGCGTTTGAATGATTGGGTTACGAGTGGTATGAAGGTTTTGATCGATATATATATTTCCAGCATCGTGCTTTTCAAAGAATTTTAAAAAGTTCAGGCTGTTTTATGCACCGTAACTTTTTCGCGGAAATAAAAATATAATATATCAATAGCTGACCAAAGAGTATTAAGGATCATCAAAAGTCACTTTTGTTAAGATTCGAAGGATCAGATTCACCTGTAAAAATGATCCTTTCTACCATCAGTGTGTATGCCGGTGTAAATACTTGACAATCATCGAAACGATAAATACAACACCAGACAACGGACAATTAAATTTTTCGTCTCCATGTCCAAAGAATATTCTCATACAAATGTAGTACCTCTACATAGACACTTGAGTTTCTCTTGAGTGTGCGTAGGTAAACCATTTGGCTAATAAACGAAGCTCACGGTAACCGCGATCAATTAGGCAACGAAAATAATTAACGGTCCCACTGTTTGCACTCGAGTGAGATAAAAACTGCGAAGGAAGAAAAAAAAAAAAAAGAAAGAAAAGAAAGAAAAGTAACAAAAAGAAAAGAAAAGGAGATGCGCCCGGTGCCCACGGAATTCTCAAGGAACACGGAAAACTCGCGACGAGGAGGAGGAACAGTAACGATGTTGCGCCCGCGATATGGTCGCGAGTCTGCGAAAGAAATGGGGGGAAAATTCGCGTCTACGGCTAATTGCCGTCTCGGTTCCCACACTTCGGTGCATGTAACAACGACGTCCGCTGGGGAAAAAAAAAAAATCCGACCACTTCGGAAGTGGTACGGAAGCGAACTCATATATAATGTTACTCGAATAATTATTGTATACGCTTCCCGATTGCCCGGATATTTTAGCCGGCAAAACTCGCTCGGATCATTCGCACTGTTTCTCTCTCGGCTGATGCTTGGAGCCGGCTAGACGAGGTGGCGCCACGTTGCTGCCACTGCCAAAACTCCCGTCCGACGATGCGTTGACGCGCGCTACTGGATTACGGAAATTCGCTGATGCCTTGCGATCGACAGTTTTTTCTTTATTTATTTCGACGGAACTTTATCCGTTGTACGGTTTACAGCCGCGCTCGTGACACAGCCAAAAAGAGACCATCCACGTAGTTGTCTCTCGGGCGAGGTACAAGCGCGCAAAAGGTGATGATAAGCAGATCAAACAAAACATGTGCTTAACAACACACGCCACGGGTTTCGCTCACCTTCGGCCGTACCGAATTTTTCGTGTTGATACTACTTACTTACTTGATTACTTGTACTCAAGTATAATACGTATATACCCTGTATGTGTGTGTGCGTGTCTTTTGAATAAAGTCTTTGCAGGAGCCGAGATACGTACATTGAATAATGCGCGAATAGAGCAGTGCCTTATCGTGACGTGTGAAGTCATCCGTTGCAAACATCTTGTACTTAACTTTGGAAAATTTTATTTTTATTTTATTTTTTTATTCTTAAGCTCCCACTGCTGATCGTAGATTGCTTGTGCAGACAAACGAGCAAATTACACACGTGTGCAAGGTACAGTACCTAATCGTATAATTGATTTACGCTGTTGGTGCGCACGAAAAAAAAAGGCAAGAGGTTATCCGGGCAGAGCACAGGTATGGATGTATATCATGCGGGTGCAGCGTCGCGGTGTGTTTTTATTTTATTTTTTTTTCTTCTTTTCGCAGTCGCGGATTTTCACGCGCCGAGTCGCCGATAAGGAAAGTGGCACGGCTCGCTTTTTCCCTCCCGCTCGTTTGTACGTGTGTGTGTGTGTGTGTGCGTGGGTGTTTTATTGCGCGACTTTCTTGCTGCACAGTTGGCCTGCGTCAAAGTGTGTTTTCCTCTTTTGATAATTTGCAAATGACCGATGACGAGGACGCGTGTGTGCGTGCGAGCCCGAGATGACACCCGAGCGACCTTGGCTGCAGATCAGCCCAGGCGGAGGAAAAATGTGTTTTTTTTTTCTTCCGCCGATTACAAATTGCGCGCACATCTGTGTGTACACGGCTCTCGTGTGGGTGGGTTTACGCGAGGCTCTTCGAATCACTTCGTCGCTCTCCGCTTTTTTGACTCGTTTTTTTTTTTTTTTGTCGCGTGCGAAAGATTTTTCCAGTATTACGATTGTCTACTCCAAGATAATGAAGTATGATGTCATTTGTACGCACGTCCCGGGCCGAGGGGTTATTACTCATTTTTCAAACGGATTTTGCCAAACGACGCCTCACTCGATGGACTTTGGGACCCAAAGATTGAGGTCCGAGCGTATATTATTTCCAGAATGTGCGTACAATAATAGTAATAATAGTTGTGAGTACAACGGGTCAAAATGAAAGGCTAAAATTGCCAAAGTAAAACAAAGCGCATATTATATGTATACAATATAGGTGTAACCACCGCTTGTATACCTGTCGTTGATAAATAATTCATAAACGGAGCGAGAAAGTTTGATCGCTGCTCTTAAATAATTTATGAGGAGTCGGCGTTAATATTTAAATGGCCACGAAGCGTCTCTTGAACGTTGGGTGATTTACGCAGCTTCGTCGCTGCCCCTCGGATTTTTTTTTTTTTTTTCATCTCAGGTGTACATACCTTATACCTAGCATCAGCAATTAACGCGATGCGTTACAATTTGGGGTGTAGTTCACTCGGTGGCTGAAAATCGCGAGGACCAAGCTTTTTTTTTTCATCTTTCAATCGGCTACCGAAAGAGAGAGAGAGATGTGAAAAAAGAAAGGAAGTAAAAGTCACAGAGGCCGCGGGGAGCAGAAAACAAATAGATTTCGAACTTGATAAATCGAAGCCTGTCCCGAGGAAAAAAAATTCCCCATCCCTTGGCTTGTCGGTGGTTAGGTTTGCGAGTGTATACACCCACCCGTGGTGGTGCGAGGGCTGATGTCTTGTTTTTGGCGAGAAATGACCGTCGGCGATGTACGTACACGTACAGCCCCCGCCGTCTGTTAGCGAACAACAGTATATCGTCCATCCAATCTGCTGTTGGGCAATTTACCCTGAAATACGACTGTCGCCGGTACATATATACCTCCATTGGATTCATTCTCTTGCTCGAAGACAATCGCAACCTGGGATTATTGGGAAGCACTGCTGGCTCCCGTTAAAAAGGGGTTAAAGTCGCGAAAATGGCACCGATGAAACCC